TTGTAGAATATACTAAATGTCTCATGGAATCATTGCTAAGGTCGACTGTTCAGTTCGGTTGATTATGTTGAAGTTTTCTGGTTAGTAAACTTTTTTTTTAATGTTTACTAAACCTAAAACAGTGAATTTGTGAGATATGCATAGTAGAAAAACTAAGAATATAACCATGTTTTAATCTACGAAGAAAGATGTGACAATTTAGCACAAAAGTAGACAAGTTTTCAATTTGATATGTTATATTATACTATTCTCTATATATTACATAGATAGTACATAACCGTGCATGATTATTTTGTCAAATCAGTATGTTAGATTTATTATACTATAATATTACATAGATAGTACATAACAGTTCATTCTCAACAATAACACATCGCGAGGATGATGAAGAAGAAGAGGAAAAAACGAAGAAAGAGGAGGGGAGGAAGAAGAAAAGAAAAAAGGACGCAAAAAGAAATACAATGCCTTTTAAGTACAACGACAAAACTAACTCATATTTATCTACTGTAAAATTATATTATATTCTATGTTTGTCAATAGAATAAAAAATAAACAGTTTATGCAATGAAACGATTAGAGATGGTGTTGATAAAGGGGATGACATATCAACTGCTTAGTCAACCTAAATTTGATTATCTGCACTACTCAACCCAAACAAAAAGAAAACACCAACCCGATAGAACACAATACGGGCCACAACATATTATACAATCCTCCATTAACAGTTGTCCTAGTCAATCCAATCAAAAAGAAAGCATTAATTCACTGCATATAATAAGGACCCGAAAAATATTACGGGTGATAGAGACAGATGAGTAAAAATATGAAGAAGAAACGAAAAAAAGAGTGGAGAAAAAAGAGAGAGAAAATGTAAGAAATGGAAGAATGGTGAAAAAGAATAAAAGGAAAACAAAAATAGAGTGAGGTGTAAGAAAAAAACAAAAGGTGGAAAGAAGAGAAGTAGAAGGAAAAAATGATAGAACACATAGATAAGGACAAAGAGAGGTAGAGATATGTATATTGTAAAATTACATTATATTCTATGTATATTAAATATAATAGAATAATATATGTCAACTGAACTAAACATTTTTTTTAGGTGAGTAAGAAATAAGAAGACAAATGAGGAGAAACGATTTGCGGTGTAGCTGGTGAGATTGTCATCAGAGTTAATGTATGAGAAAAATAAACTATTATATGATATGGAATAGGATCCTAGGTATACTATATCAACATGAAATTTAATTTCTATTCTATTTACGAAAAAAATATAGAATGGACTATACAACATACAAAATACTATTTATCTTTTTCTCCAATTCACTGTCTGATTTTCTACTGATTCAGAACAATTAATCACAATTTAATTTTTTTATTTTTCACCAATTGGATACCGACCATAACACTTTCTTTTTAATCAACACAATTTTCAGTTGTCGAAGAGAATCACAAGATGGAGAAAAAATACAATTGAGTTACAAAGAAAGAGAACAAACTATCATAGAGACACAAAAAAAAGAGAAAGAAGGAAAAAAAATGTGTTTAGATTTTAGAAGAAAAGGGGAATGAATACATATTATACATAGTATATTTTAGCCATTAGATTGTTATGGTTAGTTGTTTAATTGTTTAAATATAGTTATTTAATGGTTATTGTTGCTAATTTTCCTAAATTACCATATATTCCAGTTTACTTCAAATAAGTGTCTTAATCCCAAAATTATATTTCACTTAGTCACTTACTAATTAAAACCACTAATTAACTTATCAGATATTATTAAAATTTAATTTACACTAGATTATGACCCGCGCAGTTGCGCGGAATTATTTTTATTTTTAAGTTATAGTTTTAAATTACAATTTTATGATTTTATAAATTTTTATTTGCATCCGTTGTATTTTTTATTTTCGATTTTAGTTCTGGTTGGATTGTGAATTTTGGTATTCGATTCAGAAAATAAAATAATAGTACAGTCATTTATGAATTTAAGTTTTATTTGGTTTTTGTTATTATAGTTTTAGGGTTGGTTTTGAATAACAATATCAGGAACCCAATAAAATTTTGAGTACAATTCGAACATGTGAGTTTGAATAGGAATGTGAATTTTTTTTTATCTTGATTCTGATTTAGATACCTATACTTTCAATTACATTTTCTGTTTTTCCTTTTGTGTTTTTCAATATATTTTTATTTTAACTATGTTTAGAGAATCAGTATATCTCAAAGTTATATACCAATTTAGGATATACCAATATCATTTGAAATAGTAAATATTTTTAGCCTAAATATGGGTTAGGTATGTAACCTGTGGTTATTTAATTTAGTTTATAAAATATTAGTTCCACTACAATTTTTTATAAGATTACATACTTTTAAAAGTTTAATAACTAAATAACTAATTTAGTAAATAAAAATATTATAAAACTTATATAAGTTATAAAATTATTTTTACACTATATATATAAAAATAATTTTATATACATGCCTAAATAAATATATAATGGATCGAATCATATATACGTTTATAAAAATTTGTGTATTTGTGATTTGTTTCGTTTCTTATGGATATTGAATTTTATTATTTGTTTTGATACGTAATATTACTATATCCGATCTCCAATGCTTTGAAATTCATGTAATGACCAAAATACCTCACACCAGTCTCATAGTTTCAGTATCTGGCTATGCTCATCATTCTCCTTCATACAGTAACTACATCCACCCGTTGATGTTACTGCTCAAAAACAGACCAATACTGAATGCTCATTAGTTTTCTTTGTTTTCATGAACATCATTCAGTCTTTAAAGCGGCGCCTTGAGGAACAAATGAGTAAGTTTTTGTTTAGTTGTCCTTGAGGGCGAGTTGTTAGGTAAGCCAGCACAAGTAGCTTGGAACAGTATTGTATACTTCCTTGCAGCTCTATTGGCTTATCCATAGACAAATATCAAACATGAAAACACGAACATACATATCAGCACATATATTATGGGAGTGAGAAAACAGAGTAATAAATCAAAATAGCATCCTTACACTTTCATGTAACAATACACCATTTTTTTATTAAAAAAACTTGATTTCCCGCAACAAATCAAACTTGAACAGAAAAAGTTCAAGTCTTTAACTTTGTAATTATTGGATTTTCAACTACAATTCAGAATAGCATTGTCAACACTCATAAGGAAGCAACAATTGAGTCTGGCAAGAAACATAACAGATTAAACTTGCCCAAAAACTATAACTTTATAATGACCCATTATTTGAAAACGTAAGCAACTTGATCTTAAATCATGATTCCCTTTGTTAGTGGATGTGTTAGTTTCCCACGTTCCCATTCTGGTTAGTTTATCCATTTTGTATTTAAAGAGCAGTTAACGTAAATAAAAAGGGAAGAAGAGAAATCATCAATTAGGTTCTGAAGTTACTCGAACCATCAAAATCCGATCCACCCATGGTTGCTCTTCCTTTTCACTGTTCTTCAAAACTCAGAATGACGACGGCAAACTTTGGAGAATCTTGTTTAATTTAGGTCTTCTGAACTAATTGGTTTAATTAAATTAAATTGGTCAACTCGTATAAGATTATAAGTGCGTCTTTAATATTAAGTAACTAACAACATGTTTAATAGATGCAAATTTAAAATATGCCACAGTAATTTCAAATAAAACTCTAAATTAATAGATTAGATACTTTAGAAATATTTTTTATCTATCTTTACCATTTACCAACTCATGATGCCCATTTGTAAGGGTGCAACGGAAATGCATTGTTACAGGATATATCCACCTTAACTCCTCTAGAGCGTAGTCTCTCTCCCACCGCTAAATCTCATGATAACGTTCTCCAGAGAAAGTGATGAATCTTTGGGGATGTTCGAAATTTCCATAGATTAGACTATAGTTGATTCAGAAACTATCTAACGTTACTTATTAGTTTTATTGTTAAAAAAAAAACTTAACGGTATTTTTCTGGGCTAAAAAAATGACCTGGGTAAACATTTTGAGTAAATCTGTTTTTCAGTCAGCCAAATAAAACTAGAATAAAAATCACAAACTCAAATTTGGGGAAGAACGAAATGACAAATTAAATTGTTTAGTTGAACAGCTCGTTTAGGTTTGTAATTGATCTGGTAAAGTTAAGGACTCTTCTACATTTCACCAAAATTTATAGTTTTAAACCAAAAAAAGGTTTGTGCCAAAAAAAAAAAAAAAAAAAAACCAAAAAAAGGCCATTGTTTCAAAAATAATTTCAGCAAATGTAAACTTTTTCTCTAATAAATAAGCTCACAATCTCAAAACTGTTTTTATTTCTTAAATTGGTCAAAACTAAATGGAAGGATCTGAGGTGTGATTTGATCGAACGGAGCAGATTAAACAAGACATCCTTAAAGTCTGAAGAAAGATAGTATCCATGAAATAATGCATGGAGTTACATTTTTTTTTTTTTTTGAAAAGAATAATGCATGGAGTTACGTGGAATTGAATCAACATCTTTCGCTCCTAATATCATGGACCCAAAATGAAAAAAATAAGACCGATGCAACTAACCATTTTTTTGGGGGTCAAAGACCGATGCAACTAACTAACTAACAGAAAACAGTTATTAAGACAGAGAGAGAGAAAGACTGAGAGAGAAGAGGCATGTTTGTCGGGATGAAGACAGAGCAAATCCCATCTCCTTACTTCTTACTTTCTATAATCATTTTCTTACCAAACGCCCAAAACTCTCTCTTTCTTTCTCTATCTTCTTGCACTCTCCCCTTAATCTCTTCCTCTAAGGTACTAATCTCTTGCTAGTTTTGTATTTAATCTGACAAACTTAGCGTTACGCTGTTTGTTGTTAATTGTTAGCTATCTAAGGAACATAGTAAGACAAGAAACCATGCCCAACGTAACAACATCTGATACTGATTTGTTTATATACATATTGTTGTTTGTTGTTCTTAGCCAATTTGAGTGATTGAGGGAGAGAAGATAGAGAGTTTATATTTTCTTCTCTCCGATGGCTTCTTCCCCTGAATCTGCTCCTCCACCGTCAAATCCAAGCTCTTCTCCACCTCCACCGTCTAATTCCAATTCAACATCATCCTCTCCGCCGCCTCCTTCTCCTACTCAAGGAGACTCATCACCTCCACCTCCACCTCCTGATTCCACCTCACCACCAGCTCCACAAGCTCCTTCTCCTCCCAATTCCAGCAATAACTCTCCTCCCCCACCGGCATCACAGGGTGGTGGAGGCAATGACTCTCCACCGTCACGTGGCTCCCCTCCTTCTAGAGGTGGAGATAATGGTGGTGGTAGATCGTCACCATCTGGAGATAATGGTGGCTCTCGCTCGAATAATTCTCCTTCTGGAGGAGGAGGTGGCACTAGTAGCCGCACTAGTGGTGGAGGAGGAGGAGGAGGAAATAATACGAATACTATGATCATTATAGGTGTATTAGCTGGAGCTGGACTGTTGATGATCGTGCTTATTATTGTGTGTCTTAGACGCAAAAAGAAGAGAAAAGATTCCTTTGACGCTGAATCCATGAAAGGTAAAACCATATACATACACATATACGTTTGCGTTTGCATCAGAAGTTTCACCTATTTTGCATATTGTCTCAGGAAATCAATATCAATACTATGGAAACAACAACAACCATAACAATGCTTCACAGAATTATCCAAATTGGCACCTAAATTCACAAGGCCAAAACCAGCAACCTTCTGGTGGTTGGGGAGGCGGTGGGCCATCACCGCCTCCTCCTCCAGGGATGCCTACAAGTGGAGATGCTTCCTCCTTGTACTCAGGACCAGCACGCCCGGTTTTGCCTCCTCCTCCGCCTCCTCTAGCCCTCGGATTCAACAAAACTACTTTTACTTACCAAGAGCTTGCGGCTGCAACAGGAGGGTTTGTGGATTCTAACCTTTTGGGACAGGGAGGATTTGGGTATGTCCATAAAGGTGTCTTGCCTAATGGAAAAGAAGTTGCGGTTAAGAGTTTGAAATCGGATAGTGGACAAGGAGAAAGAGAGTTTCAAGCTGAGGTTGATATCATTAGCCGTGTGCATCATCGGTATCTTGTTTCATTGGTTGGGTATTGTATTGCTGAGGGACAGAGAATGCTGGTTTATGAATTTGTTCCTAACAATACTTTGGAATATCATCTTCATGGTTAGACACTTAAAAACTTACTACACAATGTTTTATGTAGTCTATAGATTCAAGATATTTTAACTTTTGTTTGTTGTTGTTGTCGCAGGGAAAAACCTTCCAGTAATGGATTTCTCAACCAGGATGCGTATCGCCTTAGGTTCTGCGAAAGGACTGGCTTACCTTCATGAAGACTGTAAGTTTCAACATTCCACCAATCTCATATCTGAACTAATGTTGCAAAATCCGAGAAAATATTGTTTCTTACTAGCTATTTTATTTTTGGCTATAATTCGTCACAGGCCATCCTCGGATTATTCACCGTGACATCAAGTCTGCAAACATTCTCTTGGACTTCAACTTCGATGCAATGGTGATAAACTAGTGGTTGCATTTAGTTTCTGATTTATGTTGACACAAATCACTGAAGCTGATGTCTACGAGCATTTGTCCTTTTCAGGTGGCTGATTTCGGATTGGCTAAGTTAACTTCTGATAACTACACTCATGTATCTACTCGTGTGATGGGAACTTTTGGGTAAGCGTTTTTTCACTAGATAAGATCTTTCATACCACTCAAGAAACATAACCTTTCTAGAGTGACCAATTAACTTTTCTCTGCACAAACATGTCTAGATATCTAGCTCCAGAATATGCATCGAGCGGTAAATTAACTGAGAAGTCCGATGTTTTCTCATATGGTGTCATGTTATTGGAACTAATCACTGGAAAACGACCGGTTGATAATAGCAGCGCCATGGACGACACATTAGTAGATTGGGTATATATGTTTTTTCATTTTTTTCTACTTACAAGCGTTCGTATATGCTTTTGTCTTTTTCGTTACGGATACTACTGATTGCATTTTACTACAAATATAGGCTCGTCCTATCATGGTTCGCGCGCTAGAAGATGGAAACTTTACTGAGCTCGCAGATGTAAGGCTTGAAGGCAACTACAACCCGCAAGAAATGACTCGAATGGTGACTTGTGCTGCTGCTAGCATTCGCCATTCTGGACGTAAACGCCCAAAGATGAGCCAGGTGAACCATTAGTATAACATAAAAATTGATTCGATTGTTTTCAGATAATAACATATAAATGTTTGTGTTGAACAAAAAAGAACGAATAAATGTTTGTTTTCTTTTCAGATTGTAAGAGTGTTAGAAGGACAAGTGTCACTAGATGTTTTATATGAAGGTGTGAAGCCGGGACATAGCAACATTTACGGGACATCAGGAACAAGCTCAGATTATAGCCAGACATCTTACAATGCGGACATGAAAAAATTCAGACAGATAGCTTTGTCGAGCCAAGAGTTCCAAAGCAGTGGAGGTGAAGGATCATCAAGCAGTGATTCCAAAGAGATTAAAAGTCCTAATGCTCCTAAATGATTTTTTTTTAAACAACCAGAGATCAAGTGATTTAATTTCCTTGGGATAATATGAATAAAGGATTTTTGAAAGATTTTGAGGTTTTGAGAGTAGAAGTATGTAAGCTAAAAAGAAAATACAATTATTGTAATGTTTAGATTGTTTCTCGGGTTGGTCTAATGGTATTTGAGGGAGAAATCCACCGGTGATTTAACATTCCTTCGCCGGAGAAAGGTACACCCTTTTTTGTTTCTCGAACAGATTATATAATAGGTTTCATCTCTATAGAGATTTGATTCAATTCTCAGACATGAACATACAACAACTGCTTCATATCTAACACTTGATTTTTGGATTGCTTATGTCCAATATTCACAATACCTTTTTTGTTTCTCGAACAGATTATATAATAGGTTTCATCTCTATAGAGATTTGATTCAATTCTCAGACAACATACAACAACTGCTTCATATCTAACACTTGATTTTTGGATTGCTTATGTCCAATATTCACAATAAAAAGCTACAAGCTTTTGGTAGTTATGCCTTATGCTCTCTTCATAATTACCCTTTTATTCTTACAAGTCTTTTATGTGATAATTAGGTTTGGGCAACCTGTAATCTGAATCCATATCTACTATATATCAGTTGAGAAATATTTGAAAAATTGTAATCTTAATTCTGTATTAATTAAAAAAATAACTACATCCTACGTGGCACCTCTCTAAGAGCATCTTCATCAGTGAACCCTTCTTGGGATTCATGTTTTTTATTTTTTATTATTTTTTTTTACTGTTTGATTTAAAAAAATAATAATAATAATCGAACCAATGGATGGCTGACACGTATCGTGAACAGTGCTGAACTCGTTGGATAGATGTTCACGGGGAAGAACTGGAAGAGATGGGATTCAATACTATTCATTATTTTAATATTTTTTTGGAAATCTGTGTGAACCCTCCATGGGGTTCACTGATGCAGATGCTCTAAGCCTTCTATTTCAATTTAGAAGGATTCTAGAGTACCTCATATAAAGTATTTTTTTAAAACAAGGTCCGTTAGTTTTATATAAGACATACCAAACTAAATAACATATCAAACTAAATCTCCTATATATTATTTCCTTAAATAAAACCTACGAATTACCTAATGTGATTTAGATATATATGACTATTAATGATTTTAAATAATAACGATTTGTTAACAATCTTTATACTTTATATCATTTTTGTTCAATTTTTATTATTAAAATAAATTACACAACTACACTAATCATATAATAAAAATTTAGATTTTTTATCTATGTTGTATTTTAAAATTTTCAAAACGAGTATAAATTACTAAAACTGTTAAAAATCTCACTTAAACTTTTGTGATCAAGGTCTAAATTTTTAATAACAAGTTACAATGATTATAAAAATCATATGAATAAATAATTTTATTTTAATAGGTGTTTATGTTAATATATATATATATATATATCATACTGTATGAATAAATAATATTATTTTAAAAATAATTCTAATTTAAAATTTAACTTAATTTTTATAAAATTATTTTTTATGAAAAATGTTTTTAAAATATAATTTTCTGATATTATTGTAAAAAAAAAATTATATTAAATTAATTTTGAAACTTTATATATTCTAAATGGAAATAGTCTACCAACTGCTTCTTAAGAAAACACTAGATTTTGACCCGCGCTTTCAAAGCGCGGGTAATATACTGTTTAATTCTGAGTATCTGGACCCTCGAGTCGATCTGGATCGGGTTTTCTCGGGTCCATATCTTTTGGGTCTTAGAAATTTGGACCAATATAAGTATCTATAATTTTTTGGGTCGATTTCGGATCGGGTCTTGTCAGGTTTGTTGGTTCGGGTATATTATCGGGTCGGTTCGGGTATTTAGGACCCGAAAAGGATCCGAAGGACCTAAACTGGATCCCAAAACCTGAAAATTCTATAAAGGCCCGAAGAACCGCAAAAAAATCCAAAATATTATCCAAAATCAGACCCAAAAAATCTAAAATATACCCGGAATTTTATCCCGATACCCGAATTATATTTTTTGAAATCTAAAAGTTTACCTAAAACCTAATACTATATTCGAAAATCCAAATCTGAAACTTTAAAAATACTTGAATTATTAAAAATATACCCAATCACCTAAATATACCTAATATATACCATAATTTATGGATACTTAGAATACCCTATCGGGTTTCTAGTAGGACCCGGATGAACCGAGACCTGCAGATCCAAACAAAAAAAACCCAACAAATACTCTAGCAATGATCCGAACCCGGACCTGGATCTGTATTTTCGTGTCGGTTCTTGTTCAGGTCTATGTCAAATACTCAGACCTACTTCTGTTGATAAATTTGTAAACTTACAAATATATAATTTTTTGTATAGATTTGAAGCCCATTTTGTTGTAAATAAATGTTAAAATTATTAGGCTTTTAATTGGCGATTTTCAGTTGGGCTTTTAATGGATGATTTTCATTAAAAATAAAAGGAAGTGGAATGTTTTGTAATTTCCTTAAAAAATCAGGGGTAGATTCATAAGCAGTCATCTGCTTTAATAGTATAGATTAGGAAACTTGATAATGATGTACCAATTAAGCCTTGTGACACTCCGTTTATTTTCCAGCACTCGAACACTGAAAAGTGAAAAGATATATGAACCGGACCAATTAAATTCTAAGTTTTGAACTACAGGTCTAATTACAATTGTTTATGGTCCTACGTATAGATAATTATATTAAAACTCCAAAAATTCAAATACATATAAAAACAATCATATGTAAATTTTAAATTTTTCAATACTAAAATTTTATATTTAATTATATACATTCACCCTGCACAAGACACATGTCTTATCCTAGTCTGATATGATTTGTAAAACTACTTTCAAATTCTTGAAGGGTGGTATTGTGGGCAGTGGATATTATTCGAATTCGATCTGAATCTAAATGTATACCCAAAAAATAAATAATCTGAAAACTGAATTCAAATAAATATTCAAAGATCAAAATTAACACCCAAAATAATTATTTAAAATATAAATAAATATTTAATATCTAATTCCATATTATTTTGATATGATCTACAAAAATATCCGAACTTGGAATTGGATTATTTGAATCCGAACTAAGTTCGGGTCTAAAACATTTTTACATATGCTTCTAAACAACATGTCAAACCTAAAGTGTTTTTAATCAGATTAGACTCATTCATATATAAAACTCGAATTGAGCTTAAGAGGCTGAACCCCAAAACAAGAAACCCTCAAAATTATCCCAATCCCAATAAGTATCTGAAACCTAGGCATAGTAGAAATGATGACAAACAATATAAAAGTAAGATATTACAGAAGAAGTATGTTTTCATAAAATGTATTTAATAAATAGATTAGTAAATTAGTTAATGATTTTATATAAAGTTAGTATATAATATAATTTGTTTATCTCTTAATAATATAGATATACTATATTTGTAATATATATGTATATTATTTTTATATTTTTGCCAGTAATAAGTATTATAATATATATGTATATTATTTTTATATTATATTTTAAATATGATGTATTATTCTTACAAAATCAAAATTTTATTTTTAAAAATATTCATTTAATTTTTGGATACAATATAAGTTGTTATTATTAAATAAAATATATTATTTATATTTAATTATTTTAAATTTTCTAAAATGTGAATAGACAACCAAAAATTTCATATGAAAACATTGGGAAAAGATCATTTGAAGAGTATTTACATCAATAAAAATACTATTCTAAACGTTCTTCTAATAAATGTTGAATGAATAACAAAGAGCATAATATTAAGACTATTTCTGATCCACCTTTATTTTTATCTCTATAATTTCTTTTAGAATAGAAAATATTTGTTAAAAAGGTGGATTTGTTCCAATATGTGTCTCTATAGTAGAGTTCCTTTATTTATAAAGGAAAGAGAAAATGACTACAATAGCACTAAAAAAGTTTTTGTCACAAATATAACACTTAAAAATAAAAATGACCAAAATAGCACTTAATGTTTTATCAAAAAAGAAAAATATACACTTATATCCCAATGATAAATTAATTTAGACATTAGGGTTTAGAGTTAAGGGGTGAGATTTAGGATTTAAGGTTTAAGATTTAGAGTTTAGGGTTTAGAATTTAGGTTTTAGGGTTTAGAGTTGAAAAATGGGGTTTTGGAGATATGATTTCAATTTTTGAAAAATAAAAAAGAAATGAAAATTTTTAAAATATAAAATGTTATTTCGGTCATTTTAATTTTTGAGGGTTATTTTTGTGACTTAAACTTAGAAATGTGATATTTTGGAGATTTGTCCCAAAGAAAAATATAAAGATATACTATTTTCACCTCTAAATATAAAAACAAATGAGAGAGCAATGGTGATGGAACAAGCGCGGGTCCAGAAAAGAAGGGAAGAGGAAGTTCTCTTAGAAGCTACCAACAGAGACACGGTGGGACAGGAAGTGAAGAAAGTTGGGGATCGGTTACCTGCTGAAGATAACCTTGATCTTGCTAACGAAGTACTTAAGGCAATGTCCATCACTGAGAAAGAAGAGGGGATGGAGTTGGATGGAGTGGAACCACACGGAGCAAGTTCTATGGACAAGCTTGAGTTAGGCAGTCACGCACCTTTTTGTTTGTTTCGGAGCGGTTTTGTCAGGGCCGTGAACCAACTCAACACTCACATGGTATCAAGAGCCATGGAGGGAGGACCTGGTGGAAGCGGGGAAGGAGGATGATGGTTTCCAGGATCTCACTGACACAGAAGGAGAGCTAAAAAATAATGATACTCATGATTTTATTGCGACTGGAGATGTAGGCGCCAAGGATAAGGTGCAGGAAGAAGGTGAGTTTGTGCAAGATACTGTCGAGGGAGAGGAGGGGAAGAAACATGGGCTCAAGAAGAAACCTTTTAGAGCAGGGCCTGCTGCTGCAGGTGGTACTTCAAAGCTGAGAATGGTGCAGGCTATCATCG